TCTAGATCAAAGGGTATGTACAGTTTAATGCATCAGTTCACAACTCTACCAGCAATGCATTAGTGTTCCAATTTTCCCACATCTCCAACATTTATCATTTTCCTGTTTTGTCATGTTAGCCAATCTAACAGGTGTGATGTGGTATCTCAAAGTTGTTTTGGTTTGCATTTCTCTAATCAATAGTGATTTAGAGCTTTTTTTCATATGACTATGGATGGTTTTAATTTCTTCCTCTGAAAACTGCCTGTTCATATCCTTCGACCATTTATCAGTTGGAGAATGATTTGTATTGTAAATTTGACTCAGTTCTCTAATATTTTAGAAATGAGGCCTTTATGAGAGACACTGGTTGTAAAAATTGTTTCCCAGCTTTTTGCTTCCCTTTTAATCTTGGTTGTATTGACTTTGTGCAAAAACTTTTCAATTTAATGTAATCAAAATTATCCATTTTGTATTTCATAATGTTCTCTATCTCTTGTTTGGTCATAAAATCTTCCTTTCTCCATAGATCTCCTAGTTTGTTTATAGTATCTGCCTTTATATCTAAATCATGTACCCATTTTGACTTTATCTTGCTATCTGGTGTAAAGTGTTGGTCTATGCCTAGTTTCTGCCAGACTCTTTTCCAGTTTTCCCAGCGGTTTTTGTTTAATAGTGAATTCTTATCCCAGAAGCTGGAGTCTTTGGGTTTATCAAACAGATTACTATATTAGCTTGGCCTACCCATGAGCAACTGATATTTCCAATTATTTAGACCTGACTTTATTTGTGCGAAAGTGTTTTGTAATTGTGTTCATATAGTTCCTGGGTTTGTTTGGGTAGATAGACTCCTAAATATTTTGTTATGTCTACAGTAGCTTTAAATGGAATTTCTCTATCTCTTGCTGTTGGTTTTATTAGTAATATATAGAAATGCTGATGATTTATGTGGGTTTATTTTATATTCTGCAACTTTGCTAAAGTTGTTTATTATTTCAAGTAGTTTTTTACTTGATTCTCTAGGATTCTCTAAGCATACCATCATATCATCTGCAAAGTGTGATAGCTTTGTTTCTTCGTTACCTATTCTAATTACTTCAGTGTCTTTTTTTTTCCTCTTATTGCTAAAGCTAGCATTTCTAGTACAGTATTGAATAACAGTAGTGAAGATGGACATCCTTGTTTCACCCCCAATCTTATTGGAAATGCTTCTATCCCCATTACATATGATGAGAAGCAACTCTTAAAGCTGTGTTTCAGAGAAAGTGCCAAGCTGCATTGGTAAAGGCAGTTTCCTCATCCGGAAGCTTCCTGTATCAAAGAAATGACAGGTCCAGTCCCTATCACATTTCCAAACAAGAATCTACACTCCCCATTCACCTGCTTTATGCTAAATTAATTGTGACAGTGGTCATTAAATTAAAACCCCAATGAAAAGCTTCTCTGTTTACTGCAGATTTGGACAATGGTAAATATTATTAATCAATAGCAATATATTATTGAAGAGGTATTTTTTAGTTTGTGATAGTATAAAAATTTCTTAGAGCAATAATTTGTCTGCAAGTGGAAATTCTGAAATACTTTGTATGGATGCTGAACTGAGTTTCAACTATGAAACTATAAATGATCGTTTCATTTAGATGATAGTTTTTCATGGTAATAAAGATTTTCTAGTAACATATAATTAAACCAAAAGGGCAATAAATAAAATTTGGGTTTATTTTTTCATAAAATGTTAACATGAATTGTTGGGTTTTGTTTTGTTTTGTTTTTTAAAGAAAAGATTAGATTTTGAACAATGAGTTAGCTCAGCTCCTTGTTTGTACTGGTAAGTGCAATACATTGTTTTTTGCATGGTAAAATTCTATTTTTAAAAATTAGTGTTTGAAATTAAACACATGTCAATTTGTTAGTCTTGCTAGGTAAATATACATGAGTTTTGCATTCTTGCCAGCTTCAGCATGCAAAATAGTTTGATCATTTTTAGAAGTTTTTTTAATATATAATGAATGATGTAATTTAAAGAAAATTCAAGATAGCATAGTAAACTAGACTGTACATCTGAAGTTTCTTTGACTATTTCTTATATTTCAGTATTTATTTTGTCAGTGTGAATACCCCCCATCTCCTGACCCAGACTGTAGTTTCTCTATAACTTAGGCAGTCTTTGAATGTAGCTGAATGTAGCTGTATGCAAAAAGTAAAGGAATTGGCAAAGTTGGTTTTATCATGTGCCCAAAGACAAGAAACAAATCATAAGATATTTATGTGATTATCTTGTATTAAGGTGTTTGGTAAGTAAGTATTTGTTTAAAAAAAAAAGACCACCCTAAAAGTCATTGTAGCTTATATGCTTAAATCTTTTACAGAGAGTGAAGACATAGAAAATTTTTTAAACTCAGACCCTCCTGATCAATTTAGCATATACTTGGATATCCAATACCTTCAGTGCAAAGGTAGGAATTAGTGAGGAGTGCACTGAGAAAATTGATC